AATGGCTTATTACCTGTGCTTATCAATAAGTCTAGGAGATGATTTAGCATCCAAATGCCCAAGTTTTTCTTAGATGCCTCTATGCTCAACTGCATTACAGATTAACTTTTTTTTGTAGCTATAAATATTGTATGCAGTAAAGCATTTTTGCTGTCAGACCAAATACTGTTGTAAAGTGGAAGGTTGATATCTTAGCTGCTCAATTCAGAACCTTTCTGCATAGTGGGAATTCATTTGGCAAGGCAGGTTAAATGGGAGCTATTGCAACTCACCCTTGAGCTGAGTCCATAGAGCTGGGTTCTTCAAATATTGTTTTGTACTCTGAATTCGTAACTGTTACCCAATTTTATGAATACATTTCCTTGTCAGCCTTTATTTGAAATTATTTGGCCAATTAAATCAATTATATAGCTTACAGTGACGGTTCCTTTGTTCATCAGTCTGTACTTGTAGTCTATTATGCAATAGTTCTATCTTTCACTGAACTACTGTAAATTCACTGAAATATAGGATTTTTATTAGTGAACAGTGGGAAAAGGTACCAATATGCTCAAATTTCTTTCTTTCTGACTCACCTAGATCAGGATAAATCTTAACCTTGCATTAGTGGCCCAGTTAACTGCACTGAGATTTTCAAGAGGAACTTTAATATTTGGAAGTCTATGCATTATAAAATCATCTTGGTCTCAACCACATTCAAAGGACAGTAGTTGGTAAATGAGCTTGAACTCTAATTAAATTCACTTGCATCTAAATGTCCTGACATAAAGCTAAATGTTTTCTTATGCTGTTTTACTCATTCAGTTAAGTAGTCCTAAAAGTTAATGTGGTCATGTTCTCTGCAAGAGTAATTAGCCTGAACCCACTCTTGTTAAGTTGTCCATGTAGGAACTGTGGAATCAAACCTAAATGTAGTAAATCCTTTCATCCAGAAGAATAATGACTGTTCTCCATTTGATAGAGTAACTATGTGAGTCACTTGTTTAATTAATGCAGCTTCCTTGATTGCTAGGGATTTTTTTTTTCTTTTGTAGGTTTTTTAATCCTTCTTTTTTAATTCATAGATAACAATGTTTAGAATTAGAATGCTGGTTGGCTGTCCTCAGTTGAACAAGAAGTCAGATAGAGGTTTTCTTTACTGATGAAGACTTGCAGAAACAATGTGGACTTTGAAAAGAACCATTACAAGAACTGGGGAAGTACAATGATGGGATTTATAGCAGACGTAACTACGGTATTAAAGCAAAAACCTTTTTGCCATTTTTTGCTAAATAAGGTCACAGTAAGATTTATCAAGGAAATGCTGAGTTCAATTGTAACATGGTGTCATTACAAACAGTCAGATAACCTGTGTGCATGACTTGATAGCTTTTTTGCTTTAATTATCTCAATTCTAAAACTCTGCCATGCAATATTTAATGAACCTGTCTCTCTGTAACAGGTGGCATGTGATATAAATTTGTTCTGTTTCTTAGGGTGCAATTTTGGGTTATCAGGTCATTGAAAAAGGGCAATGGTGTCTAAAACCCTAAAACAGAAGGTGTGGTTGTCATGGTTTGGTTCAGCTTTTGTTTAATTGTCTTGAGGTTTATGCTATGTGTCTGGCAGAGGTTTTTAGAAACCATGTGAGTCTTCTGTTGATACAATCTCCAATATGTCCCAGTGTTTGAAGCAAATGGAGGCATGCAAGCTTCTAATGTACTTCCTTCAAACTTTCATGTGAAATGGGTCATCTCATCATATAAAATGAGCTTAAAGGAAAAGAAGCATAGTTGAAACAAATATGCTTTTAAATTTAGCTAAAGAGTTGTGGAATACTGCTGTCATATTCATCCATCTCTACTGGCTTCTTGGGACTTCTTGTCCCATCTTTAACAGAAGGTTTTTAAATCATCCTTTACGTATCACACAGAGGCTTAAACATACAACCAAGTGTTTTTATACAAAGCTAATAAACAAATACATAATCTGAATATCTTTATTTTTCGTAGACTCACAGCACTTAAATTTCTGAGCTGAAGAATGCTATTCATGGTTTTGTGAAAATCTGTTCTTCCAGCTTGTATGCAAATTTGTAGCACTTCTCTTGTTGCAAATGTCCTGTACTTTTTAACAGTTCTAAAGGCTCAAAGGTACATATTTCTTGATAGATCATAAATTTAGCTTGGATGTGTTTTCTTGTCTAAATAAAAACCCAAACCAACCAAACAAAAAAAAACCACACAAAAAAACAACCAACAAAAAAAACCACCAAAACAAAACACACAAACCCCACCACCATCCTACCAGTAATTTAGTACTGTCTCCTGATCAATCAACCTGCATAAAATAACGTAATATTCAGGCTGATGTGTTGAAAAAATAATATGGGGTTCAACATCATCTTTATTATTATGGAAGTGTAACAGTCGACAAATAAATGCATACCAGAACATACAGACCAATATTTTTGTATCACTCACAGAAATTTTCCTGTTTTAAGTTTAAAGATAAGCAGAAGTGCTGTATTCCAGTATATAAAAACTTCTAATTATTATTCTAAGCAAAATCTCATTCTTCTTACTCTGGATTTTAAGATCTAGCTAGCTATCACTGACAAACATAGAATTAAAGGCTGGGCTTGTTTTGTGTCACACTGAAGCCTCAATGATATAAATTACAACCTCAGTTCTTGGGTGGTGGGGATTTTTGTTTTGCTTTGGTTTTTTGGTTTTGTTGGTTTTAATTTTTTTTTATATTTTACGATGCTTTATGTGCATTAGGAATATCAAGTGATATTAAAGATTCCAATCTATGAAACAGGTAATTATTGGACAAAATTATGTTGTTTGTTCCTTCAATATTGCAGGGATTATTTTTTTTTTTTAATAGTTAACTATGTCCCTTAGTCTATTAGTTTGGGATTACAGGTGCATCTTTAATAATTTTATTTGAACTTCAAGATCAAGAAAAACAGAATTATGATTATATTTTCCTGAATCAGTTTCTTTACTGTTGTATTCAAAAAGTGCAGCAAAATTAGGCTTAAGAGTCTTATCAGATATATGATGATATTAATGGAAAGATTGCCTCTAATTCTAGCCAGCACTGGATTGAGTTTTACAAGTAAATGAATGTTAAAGTAACCAAAGGTACTTTGGATTTATTTTGAGAAACAGTAGAGTTTGGTCATTTAAAATTTTTCATAAAATCATTATGTACTTGGTAAGGTCCAGTGTATTCCTGTTCATAACGTATCCTGCTTCATGCAATTCACAACAATCAGAATTAAAAAAAAAAATAATTAAAAAAAAAAACCCACCTTTGCATCATGTAATTATATCTTAAACAATAAGAAACCCAGGTATAAATAAATTTGATAGCTACAGATGCATTTGGAATGTATCTGCAGGTCTTACAGTGTAACACTATCATTAAACTGCACTGCAAGCATATGATTTTAATAACTCTGGCAGTGTGGGGATTTAGTTCTGTGTTGACAGGGGGAACAGCATGTCAGTGCATGAATGGCAATGATACATATTCCCTAGTTAGACAAATAATTACTGGCTAAGTCAAGCACTGCACTGAACCAGAACGCATTTTCAAATTGCATTGTTTGGTAAATGAGAGAAGTCTGGTTTAATAATACAATCATTTATAGTAGGACTTTAATTAGAATTAAGCAAAAGGTGAGTTACTGAAACAAAGTCTTAATAAACCTCAGGATTGTCTTTAAAATACTGAAATCTTAGCAGTATCCACCATAGGATTTTATCCTTTGGGTAAATAAAGAGTAATGCAGCTGAAGTTGTTAGAATTTCATGGATGTAGAACCTCGTGACAGTTCAGACTGAAACAAACCTGGTTTTCCTCTATTTTAGTTTATGAATTCTGTTTCTCCCTTCATGAATAATATATACCTGTGTGGGGATTAGGCATATCAACCTGAGTTTTCCATGAAAATAGTTCATTTTTTCTCTTTAAATTTATGAATATTTATCAAGAGATTCTAGGTTAGTTAATGGTATTTTCCCTTAATATATACACATTAATCCACATGCACATAATTCTGAAAAATGAGAGGTATCTCTTGGTACTAGACTGCTCCTAAGCTCCCGCTAGCAAGCTGTAAGGTAAACACTCCTTAATAAGCAACAGGCAAAAAATAGTCTTTCCTTCCTCGATGTGAAATGTAGGCAGATTCCTTCCCCATCCCCCCACCCCCCCCTTCAAGATAAGGAAACAGGCAAAAGAATTGTATGAGAAAAAACTGTATTATGTGGAAAGGTTCTCCATGCTATTTTTAAAAGAGCATAACGTTCTAGAGCTGTTGATATAAGCTGAAGATGGGAGCTTAAGACGTGAAACCTTCAAAGACTTTTCTGCAAGGGATGGAAATGAACTATTAGTCTGCAACATTTGCCCAAGTCTTGAACTCAGATTAGAACATCAATTTCTGTTGATGTCCATGTCAATATACTATTCTTGAATTTATCAAATATAATAGTTGTATCTTACATACATTGAAAAATCATAAAGTGTGCTAAGGTGTAACAGGATGGTGAATCTTTGATGTGCCTGTTTCATATGGGAGAGGTTTGGTGGTGCTCTGGAAGACAGCTGGTAGTGCTTTTGAATGAAGTCTTTTTCCCTCACAACAAAAAAGGAGAATACAAAGGACAAACAATTCCATGTAGCCCAGGAACGTACCTTGATTCTACTTTTATATATTATATAAAAAAAATATAGAAAAAATTAGTTTGAGTGTTGATAAAGGGCAACATTAGGTTATTCAGAGAATAGAGAGATTAGGGTTTGGGGTTGGTTTTTTTTTTTAATATATAGCTATGTCTCTTTAGACTATAGAGTAGTCTGAGTGGCAGCATAACATAGCACCTTTGAAATTTCTCCAAAGCTTCCATGTTTGTCACCAGTTTTGGTCAAGTGGCTGTTTTAATGTGCTAACATCCATTTCAGAGGCAGTTATAAATTATCCTTGGAGGATGCAATGAGGCAAGATGTACATCGCTATGAGGAACTATGGTATGAAGGTGCTCTGTGAACTGTTAGACTTGATTTCATTTCGGACTAATGGTCTAAAACAGAAGATACATTTTTCCTTGCGGGTAGCTGGGACTGCTTTTAAATATATGTCCAGTTGTGTCGTCCTATGAAGCTAAAGGTAGTACTGTGTCAAATGACAGAGTTCGGATAGTAACTAATGTTTTACTTTTGTGTTCTTCTACAGATAGTAACTTCATCCTTGCAAATGCTCAGGTGGCTAAGGGATTCCCTATTGTTTACTGCTCAGATGGCTTCTGTGAGCTTGCTGGATTTGCACGAACTGAAGTCATGCAGAAGAGCTGCAGCTGTAAATTTTTACTTGGTGCTGAAACAAATGAGCAGATGATTCTTCAAATTGAGAAATCGTTGGAGGAAAAGGTAGAATTCAAAGGAGAAATCATGTTCTATAAGAAGAACGGTAAGTTTTTCTTCCTGTTTTGTTAGTCTCAAAGAATGAAACTTAGCATTAATGCATGTAATATATAGTATATATTTCTATGTAATGATTTTGTATGTCTATAATCAGACCTGCAAGAATAGATTTGAATAAAGACAGTTGGTTACACATTGAGACTACTTTTATATTATTGTTACTGATTTTATTTTATACATGACAAGTTATAAAGCTGCATAGAAGACATTCAAGGTCCTAAACTGCATTGTGAGGTACTGTGTTATCTGCAGTCAGTATGACACTACATTTTCTGCTTTCTTACATTGAAATTCCTACCCTGTATTGCTGAAACTCTAATTAAAAAATTAATACTCACCATATTGTAGGCAGTGGCTGTATAAAAATTTTCAGTCCCATCAACAAAATGCTTAGAACTTTGAATGATCTAAGTGACTAATTCTCTACAGTCCCTCTATATAAATAAAATAATAATATTTTTCAGAAAGGGGTAAGTGCTCTAAGTAAAATTTATATTTAAGTATGCATTGTCACATAAAAATTTTCCAGACATTAAGCAATTCCATAGACTTTAGTAAATTTCAAGTTGCACTACCAAAGCTTTCACTCCTATGGTAGAGCAGTTATACGTACCGATTCAGTCAAGATGAGTGAGCCATGGAAGAAAGCACCCCATGATGTACATTTACTGGCTTGTTTCATTTATATCTGGCTCCTTGAATGTACTTATTCTGTAAGAATTTGTACTGTCCTTGTTCATGTGATCTTCAAACAGGTGACACCAAGTGTGAGATACTGATAGGATTGCACCCATCCCCGTGCTACAGGAGCCTTCACATGTGCTTAGTAATTCATGGGTGCCTGTTGAGTACCACCTTCGGGTTTATTACACAGCTAGATTTTCCAGACATATGGTTAGGGCACATGGTGTTCTAATAGCTACTACTTACATCTTTACTAATGAAATGCTTTCCCCTCAAACATTATTACTATTATATTAAATACTTTAAAAATTAATAATCATGATTTAGAGGGTTAGGAGGCAGCAGTTTCACTTTCCCTGACATACATAAAAGAGGACTGTTGTTTAGTTGGCTTATGTTCATGACTGCTATTTTCACAGTATGTAATTCTGAAGTTATTCTAGAAATACTTCCTCCTTCTTGTCTTTCTAGGGAGGCTTAGGGGTGGGCATGTGTGGTTTTGTTGTTTGATTTTGGCCTTTAGAAGAGACTCCTATCGGGTTTTTTTCAACTCATTTTTAGGAAGATTATTCAAAGTAGTAGTTTCAGTTTTTCAAATTATGTCCAAATATAGGGAAAAAATTATCTTAATCTGGAAGAGTAAGAGCTGGTTTTCTCCAGTATTGTACGGTGATGAGTGGGCACAGTGAGAAGAGATTTCCCTGTATGTAAATGAAAGAAGTAAAGCAAACTTATTCATCTCGCTGTCTGGGTCCTGAATGATAAATTGTGATTCTTTTCCTCTATGAAGGAGTGCTTCAAAACTATAAAAAATGTAATTAGTGTAAGAAAGAGATTCTAGGTCAATTTGCTTATCAGTGAAGTAACTAAACCACAGAAAAACAGATAAAGAAAAAATGTTTAGGATAAAAGAATTGCCACAATCCATTCTATTTGCATCCCTGTGTATAATTTGATTGGAAGCCATTTCAAGACACTTTATGAATAAATTTCCCACACTGCCTATTATATTTTTCATTTTCATGTATTTCTGTACCACTGGGAAAAAGAAATGAATAGGTATTAAAATAACATGAGACTGTTCTTGAATAAAAGCAAAATTTATCTTAAAAAATAATCTTGTTTTTTCAACAGAGCTGCAAAATGCAGACTCCAAATTTGGTAAATCATTTGTCTTAGTGAAATGGTTTGGATTTTTTTTTTTCTTTTTCAGAAGAAAAATTGAACTTCAGAAGTTGTAAGGCTTATTCATCATTGGCAGATAAAAGAAGAAAAAGTCTTTGCAGAAAAATGCTTTTAAAATATTTTAAGATGTAAGAACTTTAGGAATAGTGGCCCCAAAGTGGCTGTATGGATACCTTCAGGCTTACCCAATACTGAAAATAATTGTCAGTCAGGTTAGTGACCAGTGTAAGACAAGGAACATAGGTCAGTGGGAGACAAGTAACTCACAATGTCTAGTTGCCATCAAATTATAGAATGGTTTGGACTGGAAGGGAACTTAAAGACCATCTAGTTCCAACCCCCCTGCCATGGGCAGGGACACCTTCCACTAGGCCAACTTGCTCAAAGCCTCATCCAGCCTTGCCTTGAAGAACAGCTGGGAATTAGGGCATCCACAGCTTCTCTAGGCAACCTGTTCCAGTGCCTCACCACCCTCTTTCTCATAGGGTTACATTTCAGTGTCACATTAGGATTTTGGGGTGTCAGAGTGAACATAGGTATCTGGCTTTAGTCCACTATTCAGAGATGGAGCCTGTAGGTCTAGTTACAAGACCAAATGAACACTTTAAGGGATAACTTCAAAGAGAGAAGTTCAGCTTCAGGAATAATTCTGAGGTCACAGAATAGACTGATGTCCCTCAGCATACTTCTTAAAAGCTTAATAATGAGTACAAGATTAGGATAAGAAGTTACTATGAGGGAAGTGGATCTATGAACAAAGAAATATATTTTTGGTTGTTCTTCAGGATTTGATCTAAAATGCAGAAGCTTGAAATTTGTAATTTTTATTGTCTCCCACTTCCCCCCCATGTTTGTCTCATCTTTCTGGAAAGAAATTCGAGATTCCAAAACTGACTATGATTGGATTTCTGAATTGCCACATTTTTTGATATTTTAATTTTGATTTAATCTCAGTTAAAATGAGTTACTGATTTAGTTTTAATAATTAAATTAGGTTGTTCATTCTAAACAAGTAGTGATTCAAGCTTGGGAATTAAATTGCTTATTAATTTTGATGTGAATTTAGTAAGCTTGAATATGAGGCCTTTCACAGTTACTTAACCATCATTTAAGAACTCGCATAGCACTTCTGATCAGTAAGTGTTAGTTAAGAGAATGATTGTTACAACTAAAGCAACTTCAGCAACCCAGATGCAATTTCATGGAAGTTCCAGGCTGCTCTGATCTGACACTGCAGCATGAAAGCAGTTGGGTAGGGAGCTGAGTAAGATGAATTGCCTGTCTGCAGGATTTCATTGTCTTTTGAGTTGTCATTTGGGTTTGGATCTTAACAGAAGGATGATCTTCGGTGGTTGTATTCTGACCAAACTAGAAAAAAATACTCCTGGAATAAGTAGAAGTGGATAGGAACTTTTCTTTATTTTGACTTTTTAATGAATCCATCGAATGGGATAAACTGGCTGTACCTTCTCATCCAGGATAATTTCTGCTATGTTATCACGGAGTGGAATTAGAACTGTGGTAGCAGCAACAAGCAGCTTCAGAGAGAGATGTCTTTTTCAAAATCCCACACAAAATACACTTTTAATCATTGTTTCAGTATTTATTTTGGTTCCTCAGTCAGTTTCTAACTTTTTATTCCTCAGAGCTATTTTTTTTAAGGACAAACAGAAAACTGTTAAAAGGCAAGGAGCTGTATGATTGTTGTCTTCTTCAAAAAGCTTTAAAATTATACAGATTAGGAACTGATTTTTTAAGTGTTTTTTGGTTTTGGGTTTCTTTTTTTTTTTTTTTACTATTTCATCACTTTCTTTAAAACATCTGCAACAAATTATGTTGTCAGTTATGATAATGTAAATGCAAAGTAACCTTTTTGAATTCAAGTAAGTTCTGAGGAAGAAAAACCCCACACTCCATGGATGTCCTATTTAGAGCAATCTAAAAGCATATGGACACTGTACTGAGGAACTACATTTAGACAAACGCTTCTTTGTCCCCCTAGCAGACCACTGCAGAAATTTATCAAGAGCAAGTACATGTAGTTAAATGAGGTTTTCAGAATCCCCTGGAGTACAAATAAGCAGCAGTGTGGATTTTTTCCTTTACTGTTACAGCCTAAGATGATGCTACAATAAGCCCTATAATCATTGACTTAGTCCAGTCTAAGTTCTCTATTTTCAGCTGCTGAGAATTCCATCCCTTGGTTCCCTTATGATCCCATCAGCCTCATTTCTTGTGTCTCGGAAAACTGGTTTTAGTATTTAAATAGAGGTCTGTTCTTAACACACACCCTCTTAAGTCCTGCAGTAGTCGTACAATCTTCTTAAAGGAAATTGCCCTCTTTCTGTGTTCATGTAACTTGTGTGAAACACTCTGTAATCAGTGATGGCCACTTCTGACTTACGGACATTTGAGAGGCTTTACTATGGTGTTTGTAGTATCTGTGCACTCCGGCAACAGGGCTGTTTGTGCAGGCTTTCGTGGACAAATGCAAATCCTTGCTGTAAGAGGACTGGAGAGAGTGGATGTTGCTGGGGCCACCATTACAGGTTGGCTTAGGACTCAGCTGCAAGCAGAGTTTGCTTCATCTGTGGGAGACCAGGGGACTCAGGCAACAGTTTGTCGTCTTCTATGTGTAAACAGATTTAAACACTTTCTGAGGCATGTGCCTTGTAGTTCTTGCCCCATAAATATTAGGTTAGTAACTTGTAAGGTCAGGAAGGCATGATATAGTTATTTTTTAAATATTTTTAATTTTAAGAGTCATTTGCTTGTCCAAAAATATGCTGTAACAATTTGAAGCATGGGAGTTGTATGGCACCTTTAAAATATGAACTGACTCCCTGCTTCAACAATCTTCTGAAATCCACTATGTCTTTGCAAAATATTAAGCCCAACAGTTAGAGACATTTATTAGAAATTTTTCATTGAAAAAAAGTATTTCCATTCAGAGCCATCAATTTTCTAGTGACGTCAAGGGACTTCCTCTACATTAGTAGCTATACAAGTTGCTTGTCAGGGTAGTTTATAGTAATGTGATCTCACTGCTGTCCCACCGCTGTTCTGCCCTAAAAATGTGGACTAAAAATAAGACAGCTAAAAAGATTTTGTGGTTGG